TACTGGGCATGTTTCCATTGACCCGCGTCTGTGATCACGATAATATAAAGGACGGTCGCATCCTTCCCGCGGGTATTGTGAACAATTCGCTTTCTAGCTCGCGGAGAATGATTTAACAAATCGGCCCCAAGAGTGTTTCGGGCGGAACAAGCGATTTGTGAATGAATATTTGCAACCGCCTCTATTCAAGTGTTGTTATACAGTGGGAAAATAACAAAGCAGGATAAACGTGAAAATATTTGTTATAAACCTTTAGTTACCTGTATTACATTTATTTTACTACATATTGGATACTAATAATTTAATAACTTACTCATTAATAAATTATTATGACCAATTTGATGAAAAGTCACCAAAACTTGATTCCTGTTTCAAAAATTCAATACTCCGAAATTGTAATATTTGTAAATAACTTTAGTCTTAAACATAATAAGGACAGTGTTTGCAGTAAAAGAAAAATATTTAAACCGAGCGTTTCATTATCCCACTTTTGCGCCTCAACCAAACGCTGCGTATCGGCGTCTTGTTTAAGGCGTTTTTTTCTTCATGAGCCTAGTGAAAGGCGCTCGGGTCCTCTTAAAAGCTTGTAGATTGTATTCGTTAGCATGCCAAGTTCAATGCAGATGCGCAGTGTCGAAAGATGCGCTTCGCAGTACGCGAGAATTGAACAATTGTATTCAAATACTATAAATTTGAATGTAAATTTACTAATTGAAGTATATAATATGTTTTCTTTAAAAATATTAATTAAAAGCGCCGTTTTTGCAATTGAAATTGTAAATTTTGAAAAATTCCACGAATATATCCTTAAATCTTTTACCACAGATAATCAAGTCAGATTTTCTCAAAGAAATTTATTCTTTTAAGCGACGATTTGCGAGCATGCAATTGGCTGCTTGTTGTATGTTTAAAAATATGTCTTCAACGATAACTTCGTTTTTAAGTAACGTTTTAACGCTATAGGGTTTTTTTTTAATATCATTTACATTTACGGTTTTAATTAAAGCAGTGGCTTGAAACTGTCGACAGCGACATTGAGACAACAAAGGGTGTTATTTTTCGTGGACAAACAATAAAGTGCTTTGAACATAAACAGTCACAGGTGATCCGCCTTCCCCATGTATATTTATGATGTGTTCGACAATCAGCCCTACACTAGGTCTCGCTTGCTGTGGACAAATGTTTGCTATGTGTTCGCCTATTTGTAAATAGACGCTTATGAATAATACCCTCGAGCGGCAAAAGTGAATGTTTATTAATCAGTATCACGCGTAAAAATACCGCGGACGATTAAATTAATCGACACTATTTGTAGCTATCTTCAGTGTTTAATAAACGGAGGGACGTATATCATTGCGAAAGATAATCAATTAAAGTCTTCTTAGTTATTTACTTTACTTGATAATATGAACTTTGTATAAATGTTTAATTAAGTCGTTATTGTCGACTGTTTTAGTATGTTCTACTTCATTTGTTTAAGAAAACAAATTGTGTGTAATTATGTACGCACTTAAAAGTTATACTTCTTGAGCGTGATAAAAGAAAAATAACTATAAATTTTATCCTCTGTACCAGTACCCTTTGTTTGTGAAAAAGGCATTAAATGCACTTGATAATTTTTAAGTTTTTTAATTAAATCACTTGGAATTATAAGTAAATGTCTAAAATTGTTATTGCTTGCCATGGAAATACCGTTAATTTGTTCGAAGTTGGTTGCTTGCAACCAATTTCATCATGTCGCTTTTTAGCTGTCATTTCAGTCAATTTTACTCTCATTACTTTTTCCAAATACGCAAAAAGAAGTATAATTCCAAAAACGGACACGACCGATTTAAAGAGACTATTGGTTCCGGCATGGTTTAAAAGTTATTAACAATCGATTTACGATACGTATGCGAAAGAGAGGGAAGACGGCATACGTGAGTAACATTAGATGTGTTCGCTTGAACAAAGTGAACGGTCGGCGTCATAAAAAACCGCCCTTAAAACTATTTGTTGTGGTTTCCACGGGTCCGAGAAAAAATGGAACACCGAACCCAGCCAGCATTGGTCGGCGCTTCCCGACTCCCGGCCGCGTACAAAAAACTACGTGTTAAGGAATGTAAAGAGCCGTTTAATTATCCTAATATATTGTTATGGTCGCGCGGGGAGGTTATAAATTAGCCGCGCGACCGTTCCCCCGTCAAGGTGGCGAATGATGCGCCGGCGGCAATGGCGGCCTTACGCGGCCATTGCTATTTACGCGGACCGTACGACTCCTAGGTAAGGTAGCTCGGCAACGTCAGCCGCTCGGGATAGACTCCCAATTCAGTAACACGAGGCGCCCGCGTGAACTCGACGAGCTCGCGGGGCCCCAGGCGTTCTCACGTTACCGCGCCCGTTGCTTAGTGCGATGATCCTTGCGAGTTTTTATTCCATTTTTGCCTCAATTCCATCGGGCGGCCTTAATTATGCGCCCGCAAGTGCCGCGGACGCCACCGGTTCAGGTAGCCCGCCGTTTCACTTCAAAACTTGACCTTAGGCATTCGATACGCTCGTTACTCGTTAGCTGCCTTTTCTGCTAATCAGCGTAGGAGAATATGAGGCCGCGATGCGGTGTAACTCGATAATACGCAAAAGTGTGTTTCGTTAGTCGACTCCATGATAAAACCAGTTTGGTGTTCGATGCCCATTGGGTGTAGTTGCATTCCGCGCCGGCTGTGATCGTGATTTTTGGACCCGTGGGTACTGCGAGGCGGACTGGAAGAGGTGTCAGGGGAGGGCGTCCCGCCGCGCGAGAGCATTGTGATCGACAGCTTGTTTACTAAAAATATGCATAATGAATTTATAATGGCCCCCCGATCCTGTCGCGTCGCATCTTAAGATCCAAGCTCGCTTATACCTTTAATACATAGCCACCTCGGTCGCCGTGAACACGAATCTACTCGATTGTCCACCAGATAATGTAACATTCATTCGAACGCGTCGACTCGTCGACCTCAACTCGTCCAATGTTTGTATCGAACAAAGTTTCTTAGCGAAATGCTTAATTATTATCGTTTCGATTGCCACGTTAATCGTGAAAGAAATGTGAAAGCCACAATTCCGATGCCGTTGCAGTGTGAGAGCCTAATTGCGCCACCGACGTGTTCCCACGTTAAAGTGCACGATGTGTTTGAGTATACTATTAGCATTCGATTGTTTTAGTGCGGGCCGAGATGACTGCGGGCAGGCAAACATTGAGCACGGCTCGCCTTCCGCCGCAGCGCCCCCTGGCTCCGCTTACCTGTCAACTCGGCAGACATTTCACGGTCAAACTAGAGATATCTCACGCCATTCGTATTCGCTTAGAGACAGATGTAGACGTATGAGTACGTTATATCGATTAAAAGCAATGTGAAGTGCCCATTTCACATCTACCCGGCGGTTAACGATATAATAGTGTGGGAAAACTGTTGGTCAAAAACATAGATTTGTTTAGTGTAACGGTGTGTACTGCGAAGATCTTTACCAGCAATAGGACATATATATATATTTAGAGCGTTTCTCACGTCCATACTTAATACTGTCGCTAGACTGAGGTACCACGAGGATATCTAAAAAATTGAATATCTATGTATTTGAATCTATTTATTTCCATTTCATTGTCAAACGAACTCACGAAACGGAAAAGTTGTTAATTTGTCACAACTCTTTATCAGTTCGGGGCATTCGGAGAAATAATTATGTACGGTGCTCCGAAGCGTCTATTGCATTGAAAGCAACGGTCAGACGAGTCGGCCATGCGGGACACCCATCGGCGTGATTCGTTACGTCGATCTCTTGGCTCGGTGTTTTTTTTTCTTCATAAATCTGCATAGTGCCAGTTGACATCTATGCACAAAGGCAGCGTGCGGCGCGAAGAGAATCGCCCGCGATTCTTTATAAATATTTTGACATTGCCTTTATTTGCTCTACAGAGTTATTTTACAAATGGCATCACGTCGATCCTTTTGTGTGGCGGGTTTTAATTTGATTTATTCCTTCACGAGACAACGTTCGACATCCCTCTCCGTCCGGCGGCGGGGCGGCGGCGTTTGTCAGTTTGTTAGCATGTCTATTGGTATTTTCTTTAGGACATGCAAACAAAAAGCTTCGCATGTTTTAGAGCGGAATTGTTCCTCGAAAGCATATCGCGAGGCGGCTCACTCATCTTTTCGTTGTTTGATATGTATTGCATTTATTACAAATATAATTTTCGTGAGACTCAATCAATGGCAGCTTATTATTACGTGTCAGGTTATGTTATTAATAGAACATAATTGTATATTGATTTATATATTTTTGCTGACTTGCATCTTACTTTGTCTTTTAAAAATCTTTGTTGTTTTTGATTAAATAAAAGTGACGATTCTTTTAAGATTTCTTTTTTATTAAAATTTAAAGGATAAACACATAGTTAACATACAATCGATACTTCAATTGGATTTGGATTTTAAATTAAAATAGCACTGAAGTAATATTAAGTTTTACGTTCCCGTGTCAAGCGCATTTACTAAATTATCTTTTATTTCCTTGCATTTGAAAACAATTATAACATTTAGACACGCAAACTTGAAGGGTTGAACGTCTAAGAAATAATCAACTGCTGTTTATAGATCTGAATGTAAATTAATTAGATGTTGGTCTTATATTTAACATATTGGCGAATCCAAAAAGTGAAACAATTAAATGTATTTGCGGCCTTGTTCAAATCAACAAACAGTAATCCCGGTTTAATAAATCTATAATTTTAAGGAGTAGTATTTCGTAAGTTGTTGTAATCTGTATAAGTTACGATGCGGCTTGGCGTATCTTTATAGATAAAAACCCCATAATAATAAACATAACAAAAAAAAAGAAATAATCGAAAAGGAAAGCGACATTGATTCAAAATAAAAATTATTTTATCGAGCACTGAAATTAAAATTGGTCACGTCCACCTAATTCAAAATAACAATTATTAAATTAATTAATGAACGTTGAACTGATCACGTCCGCAGCGGTGCAAGGAGAAGTTGAACACCCTGGCGATCAGCGTGATGAACCAGTGGCCGGGGGTGCGGCTGCGCGTGATCGAGGGCTGGGACGAGGAGAACTCGGACCAGGAGCACTCGCTGCACTACGAGGGCCGCGCCGTGGACGTCACCACGAGCGACCGCGACCGCAGCAAGTACGGGATGCTGGCGCGGCTGGCCGTGGAGGCCGGCTTCGACTGGGTGTACTACGAAAGCAGGTCCTACATCCACTGCTCGGTCAAAACAGGTGAGCTCACCTATTACGTTGTAAGTCGGCAAGCGAGCGGTTCACTCCGCGTCGTTATTACCACCCGTTCACCTAACTCATTGGTACGTTATGCAAAACTGTGGAGCTTTGTCTTCTGTGATGCCGTGGTATTTCACCGTAATCGGCTCTACTGTAGAAGTTGATACGTGTCTCTACCGCAGTAAAAGCCATTCGTTTGGAATTTTTATGTGTTTATGTATAGGGTCTTCCCTTGTACTCCCTACGTCGTGCAAACTACGTATATAATATATAGTATAAGCTTGAACAAAAAAAACTATCTAGTCCTCATCTTAGGCGTAGTTTATATTCTTACACCTGTCTATGCCAAGGATAGTGTAACCAGCAGAGACAAAATTATATATAAGTTAAGGCTATATATTATAGCATAGAGTTTTACGTTTAAAAAGCTCTATGATAGTGTAAGTATTGCTGAAAATCAAGGGGCATTCAAAATTTCTCACCTTCTCTGAGCCCACATTATAACACTAATACGCGACGGGGTCACGCATGCACGTCAAACAAAACGCTAACTTAAATTTTTTCCCTGGAATCGAAGTGATGACCAGCGCTACCGTTCAAAAATCATTAACGGCCTGAAAAATCAAATACCAAATCATGATTTCTGGTTTATACCCGAATACAACACATTATTAAATAAGGCTGGATTATGTATTTTATCGCGTTTAATTTAGGTTCTGATTCTCCCTGTTATGAACACTACAGAATTTATTGTGACGGATTACATTAGCATTACTTAACTATATTTCAGCATTCCAAATCCCTATTTCAAGTTGTCTATTTTCATAGACAGCTCATGAAATACATGTTATCAGTGTGATTGGTCTTAAGCATTTGAACAAAAGGGGACTGTTGGAGAGCCGATTCTGTAGGTTATGCATTGATGATCAGGAGACACCGCTTCACATATCTGTGACTGCCCTGGTCAATATTAGGTGTCGGGAACTGGGTAGGCCCACTCATCGACCGTCGAATTGTAGTCTTCTAAATCTTTTGCACGTCTGTAATCTATTGCAGTTCTAACGACAATAGATCTTACAGGTCACACTTGCTGTTGGAACTTACTACCCAATCCCTTCGACACAAATAATAATCATAATCATGATTGGTCTTTTAATTTTCTTAAGGTGTCATCATACCAAATGCACGGCGATGTACTATGACTGAATGTTTTCCCCCTGCAAACAAATATGCAGTAATGTTTACTCAACATCTGCGTTTAAATCTTTAGCATGACGCACGTTCTTTACTGGCTACTTAGCTTTTACTTCACGATGAATGTACATATAATTTGTTTGCTAAGTATTTCTAATGTTAAGATAATAAAAGAGATCTGATAGTTCTTGTCCTCATATTTCTTTTATACATAAATTACTTATTTCTTTCGTTTTAATCACTTTCACCTTTTTAATCACCATATAAAAAAGCTGTGGTAAACTTCGATTGCGTTTATCGCGACTTATTCAGTAAACGTAGACATTGCGTCAGACGCAAAAATCTCTATACGGTTATATATATATAAATATGACGAAATTATTATTCACAAACCATCGTTTTTTATTCACACACTTTTTACGATTTCGGTACATAATTGACTGTCTACGGGACGGGCCAAATATATAGTTGAGAGTTACAAGAATGCACCTCGGACAGTTTCCCGCGCCCGCGCTCAGGCGGTGTCGATCAAACGGGCGAACGAGCCTCTTGTTAGCATCCCTCTCTCTCCCTCACCCGCACCTTTGGGTCCACTCTCTCTCTCGCACATGGGCGCATCGCAGCCAATCCCCCACTTCTATAATTACACCGGTGATTCAATGGCTTATAGTTATGTATAGAGCATAACGTTGAGAGAAACGAGCCTTTATATGTATGTACACGTTAGACTTTACGATGGCATTCTGACGCGCATAGTTCCAATTAACTCGACTGATTACCAATCGTCGATGAAAGCGAAACCTCGTTGTATACGGAGTTTTGAGATGAACCAAATGTTTCGTATTTTTATGCAATTTATACGTAAACAATATAAGAATAATAATATGAAAATCACGACGCCTTCTTTGATGGTCACAACGATTCGTGGAATTGAGAGTTTTTTTTTCTGACGAGAACAGATTTAATGACTTTCTATCTCTTGATAAACTTTTATTTTAATATAAAAAACTTGTACTAGAAAAGTGTTAAAGTATCATAATCGTATTGAATATATATTGTCTTCCCCTTAAGTTTGATGCTACTCGTATCGACGAAGCTAACTGCATTCAACTACTATTCCAACTACATTTATTTAATCGTCAAGTTTAGCGACGCTTTGCTAATTGCAGCAAATTTGCTTAAACATTAATCGGTGTGTTAAATATTTTCCTTAACAATTGTACAGTAATTTTCTATTCCTTAACACTGCTATGTAATGCAAATTACATTTATATGTTGCGCATATACAGCTACAAGGTTCATAATTTATTTATCTTTCGTTTAGTTACCGATACGGCCGTTATAACAATAAAGTGTCGATAGGAGAGTAGAACAAAAGAAAAACATCCTTATGTCATTTCGAAATCTAAGTGGATTTTTAACGTTTCAACGATTCGGGTAAAACGAGGCGAGGGTGTTCCTAAATGGCCATCTATCATTGAAAAAAAAACCCGAGGAGAAAAAAGACCGTCATTGTTTCAAAAGCTCAGCCACTGATAGTCCCCCGGTTCGGTCGCAGTCGATTTGTTTCGATGTTTATTCATTTATTCCGACGTCCCTTTCGATCGGGCCTTTTTGTTATTAATTTGGAATTTATAAATAATTAATGCGCCCTGTGGGGGTGTGCGTTGCGGCCGAGACTCCGGGTGGAAAGGGTGAAGGACACGGCCGGCCGATCGCACTCTCTCTCCTGTTACATGTTACAAAGCTCTGGTCACTCGATACCAAGCATTTTGTCTACCATACCTGTACTTCCTGATATGTGAAATGGAACTCTTTACTAACGTCCTTATAGTATAAATACAAATGAAAGTGCAACGCAATAATGTAAAACTCAACATTTTTACCATCAATACACTCGACTATAGTTTTAAAACAGTTAAGAAAACTTATAGTTTTGATGGGGTCTTAAAAACTTTGCTTGTTTGACTTTACGGCAATTAGTCAAAATACTGGTTTAAGATAAAGTTAAAGTTAAAATCCTATAAACAACTCTAGCCGATTCATAAATAACGGCTCCTCATCAGAAGCACTCATGTGAAAATTTATCATAAAATACTGCTTTATACATAAATTATTTAAAATTCAATGTTGAGTTATAAATTAAAAGTGCATTCAAATCAAAACCGGACTCCTGTTCTACTCTGACCTATAATGTCATGTGTCATATTTAATGGCATTCGGCTGTACAAACATGATTCCGTAACCATCGGTGTGGGCATGACGTGGCGCAGATATAAAATTAAAGTATCGCACTTGAAAATCGCAGCCGCCAATAAAACGGCGAGATTTTTTATACCGGATCGAATTAATTGATTTTCATTGGTCGCTCTTGATTATTTCGTATTTTTAAATATGCATAAAGGAATTAATGCTCTGCGACGGACTTTTTCAAAGGCGAGTTGATCGTGTAATCTACAAAAAGACAAAAAACTAATCGATTCAACATGAATAATTAATTTATCGTTCAATTTTTAAATGTTATGCCAACATTTAATTTTGCACGAAATGTTTATCTTTGGATTTGTTTGCAATTGTTCAGTTCTAAAGACATCAACGCGTTCGCCACAAACGTGTTTTCATAAAATATTTATTTATGTTTCTATGAGTAAGAAAATGTAATATGCGTATCTTTGATCAGGATTTTCATGCACAAATACATTAGAAACGTAAAAATTCGATTCCTGATAAGATATTTTTTTTAAAATCACGTATAAATTTATAGAGTGCTTAAATTAAAGATTATTCTCGCATTAAATTGTAAAAAAAGGTTATTCTAGGAACAAGAACAATGTGACAGGCAGTAAAACCACCTTTTACATGGAGGAGGCGCGGATAAATGGGGCGTGACTGACAATGTATGAGGCAGGTCACGAAGCTAAACGACCTTTGTGTTATAAATGTGAAATTTAAAGTGATTTTGTGACTTAAATTGACCGTCGTTGCCATGTTGCCTTTGGCGTTGCAGTTTGATACTATAGGACGGAAAAAGTATTTAAATAGAAATACTACAGATATAATTATTTGTCTATGTACCTATCTATTTTGTATATCATGCTTTTGAGGTGTTTTAATGTCTCCAACTGATTAAATCTTAAGCCAAAAACAATATGATGACAATTCAGACAAATATTCGTTATTGCATAATCAGAGCAAACATTTATTATTATTTCAATTTTATAAATAAAATAGATTCAATAAAATAATAATATTGCCCAAGACGCCGGTACAATCGATAGAGATGCTGGTCGATAATAATTTATAAATAAATTTCTAGTGTATGATATAGACATAAAGTACATACGTAACTTATTAATAATAGTGAGTAAAAAACATCGGCAACAATAAAGGCGAGCACGAGTATGATATAAGACATAAATTTAGATTAAATGCCATCACGTTCACTGGCAATAGAATATCAATAAAACTGAATCGCGAATTAGGAGCCAATTAGATATTTCTCGACGTTCGTTTAAGATTTATCGAACATTCTGATGAAGTTTATATTTTAAATTAAATCTTTATGAGTAATAGTAAAACTATGATACAACTGTCTGCGACTAATGCGTAAAAATAGCTATTTAAATTACTGTTGCCATATAAGACCACAGATGCAGCGATAATTTATTGGTTTTTTCACTATTAAAACGTTTCCATTCCCCAGACTAAGTCCGACCGCAGCTAGTGCCGACTAATAGGACCGATTTTTAAATGGCGTCTTAAAATAAACCACAAACGAGCGGCATAAATAAAACATAGCGAATCCGTCCTCGCGCACTGCATGCGCATGTCTGTATGCAAAGCGGTCGTTTTTTCGGTCCACGAGGGCTAAGGGGGATGCCGAAAGAATCCGGAGGTCCGAGCGGCGGGGCATGCGTGCGAAAGCCTGCGTCGCAGCGCTGACATTCGACACGCCACATCCCGGAAGGCTGCGGTTTCGATCCCGCACCGTTCTCACAAGCTCGCCCCATTCCACATTCACAGTCACACCGGCCTCGTTGCCGTTCGTACACGGTTAGGCACCGCACGACGCACCCGTTCGTGTATCTTATCCGTTACGTAGTCAAAAAGTATGTTTTTACTTATGTACGCATGTAAGAAGTTATACTTCTTGAGCATAACATAACTGCAAATGGTATGCCCTTTGCCAGTAGTATTTGTTTGTGAAAAAGATATTATTTTTTATAGCGGTTCATTTATATAACTTGGTATTATAGGCAAATGTCGCAAAGTTGTTATTGGCTGCCACGTTAATACCGTGAAGTTGGTCGCTTTGCAAGCAACTTCAACATGTAATTTTAGGCTGTCTGTGTGCGCATGCATCGTTAAAATTTTACTGTCATATTTTTTCCAAATTAACATTGTTATTATTATTATTATTATATCAATTTAAAAGCAAGAACTGCACTAGAGTAAGATATTCTTTTTTCCAATTAAAGTTCAAGTCGTAACTCCTGTGTGGTTTTAATTTTGCTACCAGCCACACTTGCACTAAAAAGACGTATATATAAGTATTTCTATAGTAAATAGTAGATGCATATCCAAAAAAGACAGCAATTTCAAGATCTTTTGCTACTAGCGATTTCAATAGCGCATACGCCGAATCGTAAAAATAAACATTGCGATAATTTGAATTTTCATCCATTTGAAATGGCACACATGCAGTCGAATCTTTTATTCAATATCGTAACTCTCGAACATTGATCTTTACAGTGTGTAAGTTATGTTAATCGGAGACATAAATAAATATTATATTAGAAAGCCAACCAATGTCGCTTATTCTTGTCTTAAATCATTTTGTTAGCGAGACGGGCGGACCGCGTATCGTACATCGCGTGCTGATCGTATTCTTATTGCTGAATCCCACTGAGCAATGGCTTTAAAGCGAACCAACGAGCTTAAGCTCGTTAAATTCCGTCCCTTTATATACCGGCCGGTCGCCTACAAAATTTAATTATATCCCGACTACATTTTATTTAGCGGGCGATATTCACACGTCTAACTCTACCTACTCCGACGCAGAGCGCCCCGGGGCTGATAATAGGAAACCAATTCCGAGGGCCGTCGTAAAATTATTACTTTATAGCGTTGTAGGTAGGTTTTTAAGTCGGAACCTGATGGTGCGCCGCGCCGCTTCGGCGCATGAATCATGGCCGGCGGTTTGGCATTTGCATGGCCACGCCGCCTGACGTCGCCGGCTAATTGCCATTCCATACGATATAAATCAGATAGATCCGATGCAAGAGCACCGCTCGAGGCGCGATCCTACATTGTTATCGTCGGGCGTCGTTTTGTTCGTTACAAAGCGTCCGTCACGTTACGCGAGCGTCATCGGGTGACTTATTCATATAATACAAACGTGCCAAAAAGGCATGAGACCGCAATAAATGAGGATTTAAGCTATAAATTAGAATAAGGTAAAAATGACGATCACGCTTAAAAATCGCAAATATATCATCGCGTGCATTGTAGGTGTACGAAATTGATTATACATATCGTTTCGAATATCTCGTCTCGGGTGACAATAGGAGTGTCCTTGAAGTGCTTTGGCGTTTAAGCGGTGGCGGGATCCTCGGGTGCCACCCAAGTGATAGGAGGCAGCGTTTTGTGAGGCCGGGAGTCGGGCCGCGTGTGCCGTGGGTATGGCCACGGTGCGGCGCGGTGGTGGCTGGGCGCGTGGCGTGGCGGTGCCGTGCGCCGCCTAGCTCTCCCGGTGGTCCACGCGGGGCGGGGTCTCCGCGGCCACTCGGCTGCGCGCGCCCCCGCCGCCCCGCCGCCCCGCCGCCGCCCCGCTCACGCGCCCGCGCCGCTTATCGCCGCATCTTCGGCCCAACTTCACTTGCGTCACGCAGATCGCCCCGTCCGGCCCCGGATTAGTTAATGCCCGCCGCCGAGGTCAGGGGCGCGGATTCCGCCTAGCCCGCCGCAGGTTGCTCCATACACGGACATCTACATCATAAGAGGCTTCGATATACAGATAGGAAATGAAAGTAAAACCGTGCAGACACGCGGCGATTTTTCTGTCCGTGAAGAAACGCGTTCCGCTCTTTACGAAATACGCTTTATCACTTGCAGCGATTTAGCAACGTTCGCACACCGTGATGTTGGAGCGTTGTTTGTTCGTTTCATTGCTATTTACCGATACATCAACTTATTATCATATACAAATTTTGTAATCACACAACAACTAATCGAATGCCTCGTTTCCCCGGAAACGATGAATGGATAGATCTAGTATCGTTCATTTAATGGGACGTTCTAACACGGATGAATTTGGGAAGAAAAAACGGCAAAGGTGGCCGACTGCTATTCAACGATTCGTATGATATGATCGCCTTACAACAATCAGTCTGCGGACAGAGCGCGCTTGACTTTGAACGGAATCTAATTTGTGTTATTGTGTAATGCGACCCGCCAGCTAGGGCCCACAATGAGCGGGATCCGAGGGATTTATCGCATGGCCACATAACAAATCAAAATTTAACGAGCCTGCGCAAACTCCGCCGGGGCCCGCAGTGCCACCTTTGGGTGCGCTTAAGCGTGTAATTGCCGCCCACAGTAAGCCACGCGATGCACAGTTTGGGCGCCCAACTGTACTTTCAATTTCCACCAGCCATTCTTAAAGCTCGCAGTAATACCACGCCTTAGCCCACGACGCTGCGGATTATCTTATGATGCCATTTATACGCACGTAAATACACACCTTTTTGTGGAACGCACAGATTATGCGCAGGTACCGTGAGCGGGATAAGGATTTAAATAAATACCATTAGATAATAAACAAATACAGTTCACCGATACACACTTTTACTTGTGACTTTGCCCAGGTTTTTTCCACGAACAATGGAGCGAAGGAATTAACAAAAACGGATCGATTTTTTTTTCGTTCGCCGCCGACACGTTAAAAATTTGTTTGAGGTTGCGATTATGGATTTCCTTGAATATTTTTTTAAGTTAAATGAAGAGTTGATGAAAGTGGTCGGACTGTGGGAGAATATAACAAAAGATTTACCTGTACTGAACAAATTCCAGCTTAGCCGCGCACGGATAACCCTGAACGGCCAACAAGAAAGCGCTCTGGGATATTCTTTTGTTTCGTATCTTATCGGATTTTAATTACAAGCGTAGAGAAATCTCGTTATTCCTTAAATGGATATGACTTCAGGCCAATTTACTGTCGACACTCGCGTGATTTTATGTTTACTTCTTTTTTTCTTTTTAAACCGATCCAATGTATGTTGTATCGAAATAAACGTAGTATTAGTCATCTGCTAAAGACATATTTCTCGTTTCAAAACTATGTGGATTTATTGTTCTTTAAAAATAATTAGAAGTAAAACAAAAGTAACCGACATAGGTCAGAAGATGAGGCGATGGGCCGGCTATATAGCTCGTAGAACCGATAATCGATGGGGAAGATCTTGTATCTTGTATTAACTGATTCCGAGACTATTAAAGCTTCATCTGACGCAGAACCGATGGGCTAGCCAGAACCCACGGGTTTCGGCCCTCCGCTGTGGGTAGGGCCACGCATGTGCTCATGCGTGCTAACTATCATCTAAGGCCATCGAGGCCTAAGAGCCATCGAGGGATGGGGAAGAAATTTTCTTGAGTGTCAGCCTCGTACTGGCCATTGCAGTGTAAGACAACCCTCCACTATATGGAGTGACGTCCTGTGCAAATATGCGAAGTTGATGGATGCAGGTGGCCTAGGATCGAGATTCGTGGCAGTCCGTGTTCGGGGAGGCCTATGTTCAGCAGTGGACTCAAGCAGGCTGAAATGATGATGATGAAAAACAATTAGTTATATATATGCGTGTTCATACGGTTTGATGTTCACTTAAATAATTCAATGTCTGCGTCATTTTTCAGAGTCATCTGTTGGTACGGGCGCTGGGTGCTTTCCCTCTGGCGCTGTGGTGTACACGGAGAAGGGACCTATTGATATCGATTCTCTCAAGAAAGGAGATAAAGTGTTGGCTGCGGCGGATGATGGAAAGATGATTTATTCAGAAGTATGTTTAAATATCAATAAAAAAATATGTCATTGAGGCACCAATTTTTTCATTGTTTTTTCAATGACTGCTATTACATGCGTCAATTTATACAAATGGCATTATTAAGCAAGTTTTGTTTTGTGATGCAATTAAAAACTTACATAATTTTGCACGAAGCTCTCAGATGATATTATGTTTTTCTAAGTAAAGTTAGAGTGAATCTATGAATTGGCATTTATTAATTAAATATTATTTACGGACGGAAAAGCGGCTCAGACGCAGCCTTTGCAATCTGAGGGCAAGATCTTTGTTTTCTGGTAGCGTGCATCAGTAAGTTTTCCAGTTATTGGATTTTATATATATGAAACCCTTAATAACTCGTCTTTATACACGGTGTCCGCTGGCAGGCACTAACGTTAACACCGTTTTCGACTAAAATACTAACGATATTCACATCTCACTTTTATGGCCCGGTGGCGCAGTTGCTTTACGCAGTGGCTTTGGTGCCAAGAGTCATGGTTCGATTCCGACATGGGACAATTCACGGGTCTTTATTCCCAAGGAGAGTTGACGACAGACAAGCTCTGGTTAAAAACCTAACTAATACCCCTTTTAACAAGATGGTCACGTTGTAGCGCTCACACTTTGGTGGTATAAGGGCAGGAGAAGGAAGAAGATTCACGTCTTAATTTCCATCCTAATTAAGGTTTTTTTTAATACAAAATTAATAAGTCGTTAATTAATATGTCGTCGAGAAAAGTTTAATTTAATAAGTCCTTTATTGTAATAAACTTGAACCGATTGAGCATGAGTCACGCTGAGGATAGCAGCGAGGGAACGACTAAGAAAGTATGTAATAAAATAAATTCTATGTTCATCACAGCTAAGTAGAATGCGTTCGTTTCAGGTGCTGACGTTCATCGACCGCGATCCGAACGCCACGAGGCGGTTCGTCGAGATCACGGCGGAGAATGGCGTGATGGTGACCACCACGCCGTCGCACCTTCTACTGCTAGCGGCTGCCAACGGTTGGCGGGAGTCTTTCGCAGCGAACGTTGTCAACGGCGACGTGCTGCTTACGCGCGGGACGGCGAGCGTCATGAGGCCCTCCAGGGTTGTGCACGTGAGAGTCGTGACAAGGCGCGGCGTGTTCGCACCACTCACTAGGGCTGGCACCATCATAGTCGACGACGCTCTAGCCTCGTGCTACGCGCTCGTCCGCAGTCACGCATTAGCGCATGCCGCCATGGCGCCTTTGAGGTGGGCGGCAGCCCTAACCCAATCCGAGGAGACGCCGCGCGGAGTGCATTGGTACGCGAACGCGCTGTACTCCCTGGGGGACTTCGTGCTGCCGTCCTCTTACAAGTACCGCTAGTGATGTGCCTCCGCGGCTTTTTAAACAGTGATTCGCGCGCGGGACGTGCCCTCAACGGACTGTTGTAAATAATTCATTTGTGTAAATACGGACCGGACGGAATTTGTAAATATGCTCTCGGCAATCGAAACGTTTGTCCCATTCGACGGAGGTGTCGACTACGCATCTTATATCGTAAACAATTAACCCATTGAAATTGTATTTATTAAGTAGCGTAGGGACATATTCTTGCATTATTTAGCGTTCGATTATTTGTAAATTGTGTCGGTGTTGTTATTCTGCACAATGCAGAAATACTTAAATGTATGCGCTTATGTTTTTTCTTATAAGTAGTTGTAAAATACTATTTAATAATATTTAACGTCCACATAATTTACGTTCTACTCTTATTCTTTATCTTGACACAAAAGTATTCTACGATTGTACCTAGACATTCCATGGCTCTAATCTTTTACGTACTAACATTCTACAAATGTAAAGTGTAATGAAATTGTGATCTTGGTACCTAAAACAGTGCCTTAAGATTTTATTTATTGTTATTATTATAGGCTAGTAATCTATTTAAAAAAATGACGACGGAAAAATTGCTTCGATGTAACATATACATTTAACTTATTCTGCTTTATATTCTTCGTCCATTTTATTGACATGTCTTTATTTATTGCTTCTTTTCTATTACTTTAAGTTCTCTATTATTTATTCGCTTTTAGTTAGATAATCAAGAAGATATCGATTTTCCCGATGCTTAAACAACATGATGAATTTTACAAGTAAACTCCGATTGTTTATTTGAAAATAAATTCGCGGGTGACTAATGATCACTCGAGAACGTAACGTATTATGTTAATCACTAAGTGCCAATATATGTAATATTTTAATATGTTGCTCTGTTAAAACAATACAACTTTGTAAACACTGTTTTGTATCAGTCAATTTAAAACGAAGAGCTATATTCAACTTCTATTATTGTTAAGCCTTGCTGTGTAAGACGCTTTAATTGTAAATTTCTGTTCATAAATTCTTAGATAAGTACTGTAACAATGTTAACACCTCAGCAAGTATTAAAGCACCCAATGATCGTTATTAAGATCTTGAACTGAAGTAGGTAAGGGTTCCTATAGTGTGAATTAAATACGAAAACGTCTGCTCATTTCAGCAGTACATTTAATATAGCGAAATGTGTTTAAAATTTTATATGTATTTATGCTTATTTATATGATAAATACCACAGCATATAATCATATACATATTGGTGTATTACAGTTCTATAAAATTGCAAATGAAATGCAAACTAACGCTTTTTGCCTTTTCAATGAATTTAATCAAAATATTGAGTGTAATAATGAAAACAGTTATCATTAAAACTTTAAAAAGTAGTTAAAACTAAACGTCAACGTTAAAGTTCATTAAATGCACAAATAATAAATATTTAATCCTCATAACACGTCCTTTAAAAATTTTAGTGTAAACAAAAAGTAATTTTTATTTTAATTTCAGGTCAACGACAGACTCACTATCAAAAGCAAAAATAACTTATGTGTATACGCGTAACTAAAAGTAGGTTCTTACTGCTTAAATTCCTGCTTAATTGCTTTGGAATAAATTAAAATATCTGTAGTTCTTCAGCTCGTATACAGAATGGAAACACTTTCCTTATAACTGACTGTGCCGTGTTTATTTATTTATGTTTATTTTGTACTTAAGATAAAATATTAAATGTTCGAAAACGTATTTTTGTATACTCGGAAATTTTGACATAAATGTTGACATAAAAGTCTAAATGTGTTATATATTTATATTACTGTGAACTTTACCCAGAGCATTAAGTACTAACAAATATTGCCGTATGTATTGATCGGATTAAGTGAATAAAATGTTGGCTTTGTAGAAAGTTTTGTTTTAATTTTTATTGGTGTTCTCCTTTGTTGTTATTAGCACACAAAAACAACGTGTTCTTTGAAAAAAAAAATATCTAGACTACCACAGGAATAAAATTATTGAAATAATACCCCTTTTGATGCTTTTGGAAAAAAAAATACAATGCGCGCGCAGACTGACAGTCAAAAAGCGACATAATGAAGTTGTTTGCTCAGCGACTAAATTCACGTTAATACCATGGCAACCCATAACAACTTTTTGACATTTATATATAATCCCAAGTTATTTCATAAATAAACATTACTGGCACAGGGGATAAAAGATTTAGTTAATTATCTTTTGTTACGCTAAAGAAAAAAACTTCTTATGTGCATACATATTTACACACACAAAATTTTATTTATTAATTGGTCTGTTTATTAATTTTATTTATAATTTGGTTGCTTATTATATTACCAACTACACATTACAATATTTTTTAGATAAGGGCCAAGTGTCTGAGAAATAAAACTTGAAGAATTAATTGAAATTTATTTAGTAGTTTTTCTGTGATGCGCGCCCAACGGCAGTCCTTTTATTTATATAGATAAGTAAAATAATTTAAGAAAGGTCTAGAAACATGAGAACTTTTAATTAGAATATTAGGCAGTTGAAGATCCTCTCAGTCTGTCTAATCACGACGGAGGGGCTAAGTAGCTATTACATGGCGAAGTCACGAAGAATCATTGGAGTCAAGGGGCAGCACGTGTTATGGACTCTTGTCTCCTTTTTGACACCTTCCCTTGGCTTACTTCTACGGCCAACCAGCTTCTAATCTTCGCCAGAAATGGACCCGCAGTCTTCTTTAAATCGTTGTTGAGTCAGTAGACATATTTCATCAGAAGCTGAGTGCATTCAAACGAAGTATTCGAGGCACATAATGTTTTTATTTTTCTTATTATTTTTACTTTTATATTTAGTTACCTTTCAATAGTTTTTCAATAGCTTTGTCTTTTGTTTTAAAATTTATAAATTAATCCTGCTTAATGGTATCGAAGCATGTAGTGTACATATATTTTCGGCGGACACTATGTATAAGTTGCCCTTACTTAGTTTATTGTAAGGATTATTGCACTGTTTGCTGTTCTGTGTACCAAATAAAATAAAATAAATCGCCTGCCTTGTAGAAAAATCCTATTTTCAACCGACTACAAAATAGGAGGAGGTTCTCAATATGTATTTTTTTTTAATTTTTTTTTATGTTCGTTCCTCATAACATTTCTATGATTCTTTATTTATTTGAAAGTTGCAGCTTCCCATGTGGTCCCATATTAATTTCATTGGTATAGGATATTGGGCTCCTGAGATAATTAGGCAAATCCTGAAAATCAATTATAAAATGAATATAGTTATATGACTAAAATCAAATATCAATTTGAAGTAGGTTTTGTTTTTCGTTAATAAAAAGTATATATACCCATGTGGCCGGTCTGGAGTCCACAGATCAACGTTGAAACGTTTCCATATAAAACTAACAAAGATTATCTTTAACGTAAAACAATAGTTCATCATCTAATTTAATAACATCCGAATAATCATCGCTGATAAATAAATCGATACGTATTTAATCAAACTGAAAATATTCATAAACATGTCCACAAGAACGTTGCAAATCATATGAAATGCGCGAGTCAAAGACTGTTTTGACGTGATGTTTATGGATAATGTCCAAAACGACACGATAGCGATAAATTGTTTACGTAACCTTGTATCGAATATGTTACTCCGAAGACTAAAATACACTGCCATAGATGATAAACCAATAAGTAGTAGAGGCTGTCCATTTCGCGTTTCAATACGAAGATTCCCAATTATTGTGTGTATAAAATAGAATTTAGATTTACAAAGCTCAGCAAGATTTACTTTTGAGTTGATAAAGTCGACCTTATTAGTCACTATTAATACTAATATTGCTACGTATTAAAATATTATCAGTAACGATCTATCATTCTAATTGTAAGTATTTGCCAAAATTGCCTAAGAAAAAATATTTTTCCGATTATCTTCTTTTTGTTAAAATTCAAAATCAAATCTTCAGCTTGGTAGTTGTGTATTTATACAGGATCATTACTAAATGAAACTATGTTTACGGAGTTTTCGCGTTTATTTATAATTTCGTTTCCCAGCGTTTCAAACCCTTTTCACATGACAGACTGAGGCGTTGAACGTCTGATGACATTGCTAGCTCGGGCTACCTTCAGTTTTTAAATTATAAATTTTCTGTCTAATTAGTCAGAACATGCTAATTTTATCTTGTCTTGCAGTAGTGGTTCGTTTGTCTAGATTTATTTTATTAATGATAGGATCCCAAACTGATGGCAGCTAACCCTTTTCTCTACTGAAATTATGGAGTTTTTAATTTCAATAGCCTATTGTTACACTCTCCAATTAGATCTGATTTGGATTTCATTAGGCGTTCATCAACCCAGATAGCACAGAGAGCGTAGCGTGTCTACAAGCTTGAGCCACTTTGAGCAGTTTCTTTTTATATTTTAATTGTCATTTAATAATATTGAAACATACATCAAATGAAATTATGAATGTTGTGTTTTTATCATTTCCGACAATGGCTTTTTTGTGCTAGCGCATACGCTATGTTCAGACAACAATAACTCTTAATTATTAAACATACAATTGTGAATTTTATGGTTTATTGTAGCTCAGCTCAAAATCTATCGATCTGGTAAAAATAAAATGTTGTTGGGTGTGTTTTTGTAGTAAATAACAATTATTGGCTGAATTGAATAATTTTTCGTTTTTTTTTTACTCATATTTTTTTTTCAAAATTTATGGAAAAGTTATTCTGAACACATTGCTTTGTAATGCAGACGGTAGCCTTTCCAATAACTTTGAGAGATATGATTTTTTTGTAATTGCATTGATATTTCAACAAAAAAATCAAAATGGTTTGGGTCCAATACAAGCTTAGAATGTATTTGTATATTAAAATACTTTATAATTAAGTATTTAGAATTCAGCTAGTCCATGTTAATTTATAATAGCATTCACAGTATATTACAGTGAATATTAAAATAAAAATAATATTATTTTAAGATTTATAGTAAAATAATAATAAATAT